TCCCTGCGTGCACCTTTCTCTCCGGGAAGAATCCGGTGCTGATTTTTAAAGTTCCCCGCTTCTCCGGGGCGGGGCTCTCCTGTCCGGGAGGCTCCTAGTGGGGGTGGGGTGGGGTGGGTGGGCCTCCCCCATTTGATTCATTTTTTTTTTTCCGCCTTCCTACCTTGTTAGAAGCGAAAACCCTTCTCTCTGTAACGTTCCAGTTGTTCTCTTTAAATCTCAGGTCAGATTTGTAGGTTTTCAGGATTGTTTGAAAGTTATCTAGGTAAGTTGGTGGGGCCAGGTGACTTGGAGACCCTGCTCCTCTGCCATCCTGCCCCGTTCTCTATCGTGTAGTTTCTGAAGAGAATGCAGATATACTTTTTATTCTTGCTCCTCTATAGGTAAGGTGATTATTCCACCCTCCTCCATCTTCTCTGGGAATTTTTTCCTTGTCTTTGATTTTTTTGCAGTTGAAATATGATATTCCCAAATGTGTGTGTTTCTTTTAAAGATTTTATTTATTCATGAGAGACGCAGAGAGAGAGTCAGAGACACAGGCAGAGGGAGAGGCAGGCTTCCTGCAAGGAACCTGATGTAGGACTCAATCCAAGGACCCCAGGATCATGACCTGAGCAGAAGGCAGGTGCTCAACGACTGAACCACCCAGGTGCCCCCCCTCCTCCAAATATGTTTTTTGTCCTGCTTGGTGTTCGCCCTTCATTTGGAAAGTTTTCAGCCATTAAGACTTCAAATATTTCTTCTGTTCCTTTCTTTCTGTGTTCTCCTGTAATTCCCATTACATGTACATTACATCTTTTATAATTATCCCACAATTCTTTGGGTCTTCTCTTCTGTCTTTTTCATTCTTTTTTTTTTCCTTCACATCATATTCTTAGAAGTTTTTATTGACATTTCTTCAGGCTCACTGAGAGTTTCCTTGGTTATGTCCACTCTACTGATGAGCATTTTCTTTTATTCTTTTTTAGAGTGTCCATATCTCTGTTTACATTACCCATGAATCTTGTGAATTTCCTTAGAACCCTTGGCATGCTAATCATAGTTGTTCTGAATTCTCAATCTGGTTATTCTAACACCTCTGACAAACCTGAATTTGGTTCTAGTGCTTGTTCTGTTTCTTCAGACTGTGCTGTTTGTCTTTTATCATGACTTGAAATTGTTTGGTGAAAGTTGAACTTTAGTTAGTTAGACTCTGTTTACTTTTGCTGTAACTGTGGTATTGGAGGCTAAACATATTTTTCCCTTGCCGTTTCTTCTTTCTTTCTTTCTTTCTTTCTTTCTTTCTTTCTTTCTTTCTTTCTTTCTTTCTTTCTCTCTCTCTCTCTCTCTCTCTCTCTCTCTCTCTCTCTGATGTGTTTGGGTTTCTCTGGAGACTTCTACTTAAATAATATCTGAGATGTGCAGTTTTTCAACTGTATCTCCTGTTATATTTTATAGGGTCCCTATTGCTGTGGTGGTGAGGGTGGGGTGGGTGGGATGCATTCTAAAGTTCTGTGATTAGGTCTCAGACTGGTACAAAGCCTGTACCCTCAGCTCTGACTTCTGCAAGTGCTTTTCAGTTCCCCTTCCATGTTTGGATGATACGGGGACTGGGTTGGATATTTCTTTTCTCCTAGGTAAATTATGCTCTGGTAAGATAGTTTCTTTTGAGGGCAGCCTTGTTAGGAATAACAGAATTCTTTGGTGTATTTCAAAGGGCTTCCCCCCCCCCCCCCCGCTGGAAGCATTGGGAGAATTTTTCTCCATCTTTACTATGAGAACCTAGTAGAGCTATTGGAAAGAAAACTCATGAAAAGTGTGGGAATCCCCCCTAAACTGGGCCTCCCTAGAGTTTTTAACTCTCAGATTTGTCCACACTGAGCCTCCCGCAATTTATCAATTTTAGTTTAAATTTTCCTACCTTAATGTTTGTCTACACTGGAGAGTTCTATGAATTGTGATTCTTGTGTATGCCTGCTTGTCTGTATATTTTTTGGAGCAGCATTTTGCTCTGTGACCTCAATTTTATGCTGGATACAAGAAGAGTTGGTGATTTTTAGTTGACTGTTTTACTTGTTGGTAGGATAGAAAAATACCTTACAGGCTCCTTACATGTCAGGACACCAAAGCCTCCATTATTTCCTGTTCTTACAATACATTTTCTCCCCCGTTTCCATCATGTCCCTTTCTTTCCATGCCCTAGCAGCTCTGACTTTTCTTTTCTGTCTTCCTTTTCATCTCTTCATCTGGAAGATCTATTGACCCTCTTCTCAGGCTGCATCACCCTTCCTGGTGATGCTTCTCCCTCAACAGCTTTAACTAACACCTGAGCAATTAAGCCTCTGACTTAATATCCTGAGTGTCTGACACCTTATGGGCACTTCACAGTCAGTGTCTCCAGAATTGAATTTATTTTCTGTGATTCCTCTGCCCTTCTCCCACAACTGCACCCCACCCTCCCTTCCTCTCCCACAAACATACCCACCCTCCTTTCTTTCTTTTTTCCTGTTTAGTGCTCTGATCAAATGACTCTGCCATCTCATGCACCTGGCTCAAGCCAGAAACCTATGTGTTATTCTAGATCATTCTTTCTCACTCACATAGTCCCAAAACATTTTCATCTCAAAGAAAAACAAATTCATATCTGCCTCCTCTTCCTTGACCCTACCTGCTTTTGCTTATGTTCAGACCCTAGTTTTCTGTCTGCGCTCCTCATCTCTCCTGCATTCCTCCCTCCACACTGTCAACTTCGCAGTGTTCCAGAAATCATCAGACTGCTTCTCTGTTGCCTAAAAAAGTAGTCTTCCATGTCTCCCAATCTGTAAGCAATTCACTGAGAGTGTGGACATACTGCATTAGAAATTCTGTTTAGATTTATTTTCATTTCAACTTATAAAAATGTATCCTTTATTTTGTTTTGATTTTAGTGTATGTGCTGCCAAAGCGAGCACCTTTTTTTTGGTTTTGAAATGTAGAACAATAGCACATGCATATAATTTATTAATATGCATATATTAAGGTTGAATACTTAAAAATTATTTTAAGAGTTGGGGTATATAATCAAAAAGTTGAGAGACCATGTGCCTACAATGTGAAGTCCTAATCCCTCAGTTTATGTTCTCTGAATCCTGCCCATGTGTGTCCAGACTCCCCTCCCTCTCTTTTCCTGTTTATCCCCACATCAACTCACTCATGTTTAGCCACTGGTTTAGAAGTTACCAGGCTGTTTCCTGACTTCACACTGTTGCTTCTCCCTAGAATTGTCCTTATTCATTGTCTCCACCCCTCCCAGCAGACTCCTGGTCCTGAGTTTCTTTCTGTGACCCCTTCCTGTTCCTACCTTCTCTTCCACAAGTGAAGTCATCATACCCCCTTGCTGGTCCTCCGTCTCTGTCCTTCACTGAGTCCTCTGATGGTGTCTCTAGCACCACTCTGCTGCTACCCCACGTTTGGGAGACCAGAGTAGTCTGTCCACCTCTCTGCCTTCTTTACAGTGAGCTCCAGAGAGACAGACACTCTCCTTATTCCCTCGCTCCAAAAACCGGCGGACTCTTGACAGCCTGAACAAGTATGTGAATCAGTGACCAAGGACACTGAACTGCTGATATATCTTTTACCAGTGAGATCCTTTTTATGAAAAATTGATCAGGAACTAAGTTGTAAATTTGTGGATTTCTAGAGTCAAAATTTCCTATTTATTTATTTATTTATTTATTTATTTATTTATTTATTTATTTAATTTATTTATTTATTTATCTATTCATAAGAGATACAGAGAGAAAGGCAGAGACATGGGCCGAGAGAGAAACAGGCTCCATACAGGGAGCCCAATGCAGGACTCGGTCCTTGGACTCCAGGATCACACCCTGGGCCAAAGGCAGACGCCCAACCACTGAGCCACCCAGGCATCCCCAAAATTTCTTTTATGCTATACATGTATACATGTATACTTTTATACATGCTTACTTCATCCAATCATTCACTTAGTAATATGCATACATTTGTATATGTTTTACATGAAGGTTTATATATATTTTGTTTTGGTTTTAGTTGATTTTTTATTGAAGTATAGTTGACACACAATGTGATGATAGTTTCAGGTGTACAATGTAGTGATTCAACAAGTGTATACGTAATGCTAAGCTCATCATAAGTGTAGCTATCTTCTGTCACCACAAGTATATATTTTGTTAATTCCAGAGACTAGAAATAGAATAAGCTATTCTATTTCTATTATACTAGAGCCATTCTTTCTAGCAGTGGTCATAAAATTTGGCCTGACCTAATTACCCAAAAGTGAGCACTCACATCATATACTCTGGATGTGCTTTGGCTTATGTTGGAAGAGGACATAAAAAGCCATATATGAGTGAAGAATAATTAACCTTGCCAGTACGTTATGCTTCATTTAAGGTATAGAACTATAAAACAGGTAAATTAAGATCTGATTGTTTATGTTAGAGACTTTTTCCATTAACAAGTGTTTTACTAGAGATAAAATTTAAATTCACTAAGTATGCCTCAGGACTTGAGTTTGTTATTTATGTGATAGAAGTTGCAATTTTTTAGAATAGAATATATTTCATATTTCATATTTCATTATAGCTCACACTGGTTAGATTCTATCTGTAGGTATGCATAAAGGAATGTGTGTGGTGTGGGTAATTGAGCTGGATTGCCTAATTAAGTCAGTGCAAGTAAATAGTAGTAGTCTGTCCACCTCTCTGCCTCCTGAAAAGAATGAAGTTTAGGGAATGGTATGTCTACCTAAATTACTCATTACTAATAGTACTCTTGCATCTAAGAAGTACTACTTACTACTCTTACTACTAAGAATAATTAGACTGCCTTTCTTCTGAAAGTTCCTTGCAAGATAGAGAGATATACTTTTTTGTTTTCAATTCTCTTTTTAGCTACCATGATCCTGAATTTTAAATGAAGAAGTTAAAGGAGTTAACTGGATTTACCTGAAGAAACTGAAGTAAACAAAAATGCTATTAAACCTCTTCTCTTTCTTTTAGGTATAATATTGAACCCAGTTTATATTGCCCATTTTTCTCTCTTGGAGCATGCATGGAAGGCCTAAATATTTTGTTTACCAAACTACTAGGAATTACGTTATATGCAGAGCAACCTGCAAAAGGAGAGGTATGGTGTGAAGATGTTCGCAAACTGGTAAGTATCCAGTTGGTGTAGAGTTGCACTACATCATCTCTTGGGTTCAGTAATTGAGTTAACAGCAGTTTCATCTTCAAGTTAGCTCTGCCCTGATGGAGTGTGTCTCACCTTATTTCTGTTTCATGAAAAATCCAGGTCACTGCTTCTGACTTAGGACACTGTTTAAAAAAACATTTTTCTCTAAAATCAGTTGTTGCCCTAAGTTAATAGAAACATATAATAGTGAATTCTCTGAAAAATTTTTTTCAGGACTTGATAAAAAGTTGAGTCCTTGTATGTGGACAAATTCTAGTTAAAGGGAAATTTGTCATTACTCTTCATATTCCTGCAGTGCTCAGTGTCCCTTTTGGTTAATTTCAGAGTCTGTTGTGTCTAACCTTTCCTTTTTTTTTTTTTTTTTAAACCCTCTTCCCATCTTGTAGGGGCTTATTTGCATAATATATTGATTTATATCCCATGTTCTGATGTGACTTAAAGCTTGATGTCCACCTTTCTCCTACTAGGGCCCACTTTATTTGAGATGTGAATGTTTATTTTTTCCTGGTAAGATTATGGGGGTTTATGGACTTGTTTGTGTATCACAAAGGCTCTGTGTAGTTGTTACGCTGTTTTACTTTCTGCCTATATGCGTACTACACTGTACTCTGTTCCAGTATTTCAAGAAAAGAAAGCTGTCTCATGGCCTTCTGGCTGTGTTCTGTGAGAGTGGAATAGGCGTGGTGGTAGAATTGAAAGGATAGAGTAGGAGCACACTATCACTGCACTAATTACCTGATTATCTGTGTACTTCACAAAGTGGTGGAGCCTGATAAAGTGCAGAGATACAATGAAAGAAAACTTGGCAAAAGTGAAAGGATGACAATGCAAGTAATGAAAATGTTGCTTCATTACAGGGTGTGAGCCCACCCAGCTTCCCCCAGTGTGGGGTGTAGGCCTCACTTGGGCAGCAGTTATTTGCCAGTTTTATTCATTACTAATATCCGAATGCCTTGATAAATTTCAAACACCTACTCGGTGCTTAAGAGGTATTTGTTGAATTAATGAATATATGCCTGTACGAAGTTGTAATGCACAAAGCTGAGGTTCTCTGTGGCAGATTGCTTGAGTTGTGACAAGAGAAAGGAGGCAAGCCAAAGGCTATCTGTTGAGGTCTCCACAAGCCATTCGTCTTCTATAGGCCCAATTTGAGGGAAGGGCATAAATAAAATTACTTATCTTCAGCTGAAGCGAGAAGTAACGTTTTGTTGTATCTGAATTCAAGGGTTCGCATTTTGAGGCATATGTCTACATTGTAAGATTTAGATCTAGAATGGTCTAGCTAGCGCCTCTTCCCAAGTGTCTGGGGAGGTTTCAATGTGAACAGTCTGAAGAGGTGTGTTTGGTCGTGGTTATCCTGGGGCACTAGCGTTTGGGATGAAGGGCTCAAACAAGGAGGGTTTCCTTTCCTGGGAAGAATCCCCAAATCAAAATCCTCTGAGAGGGGAAAATAGAATGTATCTCTAGATAATGTGGGATGGAGAAAGTAATAAAATCTCTCTACTTACGGCTATGGATGTTTTATATATAGATTCTTGTTAGTGATGTTTTTCTACTTTTAGAGTTTCTGGTGGCTTCATTCACCACTAAACGTATTTTTTTTTTTTTCCAGGCTGTGGTTCATGAATCTGAAGGATTGTTGGGGTACATTTACTGTGATTTCTTTCAGCGAGCAGACAAACCACATCAGGTGATGCTTTATGTGACTTTCTTTATGTGACTCAGTGTTTCCAAGGCTCAGTTTCAGTTTCTCCATCTGGATAATGAGAGAGCTGCCTTATGGGTTATTGTGAAGAATAAGTGATACAATGCATGTGAATCTCAGCCTGTTAGCGAAAGCTACTCCAAAATCCTTCCTTTGCTATGGTTCAGAGTTCGTCACTTCTGAGCAATGAAGATAATTAGGTATGAGAAGTGTCTCCCTGTTTATTGCCTGACACATAGAAGGTGTTCAGTAAGCATTAGTATCCCCACCCCCAGTGGTTCAGTGTCTGTGCCCTTCCCACTTGCTTGTGTACAGTTGAGTGTGTGGATCCAAGGTCTTTGATGACTGTGTTTCCAGCATCGGGTATAACATCTCCTCAATACATATTTTTGGAGTGAATGAATGAATGAATGAATCAACACAAGCTTAAGGTAAAAACTTAAAATTTTAACAAAATAAAAAATGTTAGGAAAAAGTACCTATGACTAAATAGAAGAGTAGGACTAAGGTAAATTTGAACTGAGACTTCTTGGTGCAATTTTATATTCATTAAAACTATTTTATTCTTCAGATTTACCTAATACTTTCTTCTCTGTTTTTTTTCTGACCCTTCAAGGATTGCCATTTTACAATCCGTGGAGGCAGATTAAAGGAAGATGGAGACTATCAGCTCCCAGTCGTAGTTCTTATGCTGAATCTTCCCCATTCCTCAAGGAATTCACCAACTTTATTAACTCCTGGAATGATGGAAAATCTTTTCCACGAAATGGGACATGCCATGCATTCTATGCTGGGACGAACTCGTTACCAACACGTCACTGGTGAGCCATTAAGAGGGCGCTTCTGTTTAACAACCATCTTTTAAAAACATGTGTTTTATTTTAAATTGGAAAAAAAAAAGCTCTTTTTTTAAATTTTTTTTATTTATTTATGATAGTCACAGAGAGAGAAAGAGAGAGAGAGAGGCGCAGAGACATAGGCAGAGGGAGAAGCAGGCTCCATGCACCGGGAGCCCGATGTGGGATTCGATCCTGGGTCTCCAGGATCGCGCCCTGGGCCAAAGGCAGGCGCCAAACCCCTGCGCCACCCAGGGATCCCAAAAAAGCTCTTTATTTAGAAAATCTGATCATTTCATATTGTCAGGTGGTTGTTTCTTGCAGGTTGCCTCATCTCATCCTTCTACTTGTTATGCAACCTGTTCATTTTACATTTTTCTCCTTCTTCGCTAATAGTTCTGACTGAGGACTATCTCAGTTGTCTTCTGAATTTTCACTTTCACATTTTATCTTTTCTTTATGGAATTGAAGTTTTTGGCTATGTGTGTGTGAATAAATATGTGTTTCCTTAGTACCTAGAACAGAGTAAGTGAAAGAATGTTGCTTCTTTTTCTCCAGAATCAGTTAGAATACATATTAAATCATACTGAAAAAAAAAATAACATACTTCCTATGCTTTCCCCCTGTGTAATATGGCATTCTTTCAGCTGGTATGTGACCATATTTGATGATATTATATGTAGGCTTTCCTCTTAGTTGTTTCATCTCTAAGTCTTAAGCTCCCTATCCCAATTGGTCAGCTTTAGATCACCTGCTAAATTGCTGTCATTCAGTATTTATTAACTAACTTTGTATACCCAGTATTTGGGGGGAGAAGAAGATATTTGAAAAGACTATAGATTAGCTGGACAGAATCATAAAATGTCACCAGAAAGTTCTTACAGGATTTTGCTTTAAGTCATTTTAAGTTTAAAATATTGTTTTTTGGCATTGAGGGTTGACTTTGTTACAAGAAGCAAACAATGGTTTTAAAAGGTACTTTTAAAACAAATGAAGGGTTGGATAAAGAAGTGATGATATATTCTATGAAATAGTACTTAGCCATGAAGAGTGAGAACTTCCATTTGTAATGACATAGATGGAGCTAGAGGGTATTAAGCTAAGTGAAATAAGTCAGAGAAAGACAAATAGCAGATGATTTTACTTATTTGTGGAATCTAAAAAACAAATGAACAAACGGACAAAAAACCAGTCTTTAAAATACAGAGCACAAACTGGTGGTTGCCAGAAGGGAGGGCTTTGGAGGATGGGTGAAATAGGGGAAGGGGATTAAGAGGTATTCACTTGCAGTTATAAAAGAAATAAGTCATGGAGATGAAAAGTACAGCATAGAGCATAGAACAAGCAAACAAATAAATGAAGGATAAAAGCATTCTGTGGTAGAATTCAGTGAATTGATACAAATGGTTTATTAATTACAAGAATGTTTTAATTTGCGTCTTGTGTGTAGACCAGCAGAGCTGAGGTCGAATTTATTTGTAGAGAGTGAGGCGTTGCTTTATAAGGTGTTTTATCCAGCTGTGCAAATATTTTGTTTTACTTTTGATACACAGGGAAATATATGGGATTATAATAAACTTTTCTGCAAATATGTGCAATAATTTTATAGAAGCAAAATATTGATTTAATGAATTAAATCTTATAGTTCATCAGAAGTACAAATAAAAGTTTTTAAAGAGTACATAAAAAGTAAGATAAATATGTTGATTCATGCCAACCTTTTTTTTTCTTTCCTCCCCATTTTAGGGACCAGGTGCCCTACTGACTTTGCTGAGGTTCCGTCTATTCTGATGGAGTACTTTGCAAATGACTATCGGGTGGTTACCCAATTTGCCAGACACTACCAGACCGGGCAGGTAGGGAAGACACAAGCAAAGTGCTGTCCTCTGGGTGGTGGCGGTCAGCTTTCCCAGCCCATTGCATAATGGCTGGGATTGGCATAATGGCATTGCATAATGACCCTCAGGACGGTCACCCTCTCTTGGAACCAGAATCCTTCTGCTGTGTTTTTATTGTACTTTTAGTTTTTTGCCAGCCAGTAGAGCTGCTCTGTCTTACATGCTAAGTCCTAGCTCATTTAGTCCTCACAACTCTGCCCTGAGGGAAGTGCTTCTTTCCTGTTTTCTGGAGGGGGAAACAACCTGATTCCAGACAATAGTCCTTCAAACCTGTCTCGCTTCAGAAAAGCCATTGGTCTTTCCTGTTCATTTATGCCTTTGAGTATTTGTTTTCTTGGTTTAAATTTTTCCGTTGTTTTGTAAAACTGAACAGCAGTGCCCTCTTTTCCCATCATGCCTTGCACAGTAGGTCTAAAAATTCTTCAGCTTCAGAGTTTTGATTTCAATAGTTGGATTTAAAGTGGAACTTGAAAGATTTTAAAGTTTTATAAACTAGGAAGACAATGAGAAAGCTCTTATGGTGAGTTGGCCATAAACCTAACTATGGACATAGTGCTGTGTACTGTCCACCTGCTTTGTGAAATATCTTCTCCTTCTCTGAGAACTCGGATTATATGATTACTGTCACATTAGTTGATGTTTCCTCCTTAGATTGTACCTCCTTGAGTGCAGCTGTGAAATTACAGTCATCTTTGGATCCTTAGCACTTAGAGTCCTATAGCACATAAGAAGCACTAAGAAATTATAAATGAAGGGATTAATGGAATAAAAAAAAATCACCAAACCCACCTTTATGTCTGAGTCTTTTTCTAGTGCAATTTGGTCATTTCTAATTTGGGAGCTTGATTTCATCTGTTACTGTCAACAAGGGAGTTTCTGGCTAACTAATCTGACTGGGTCTTTGTCATAATTTAGCTCCATTATTAAGGTGACAGAATTGAGATATTGGTAATCAATGAGCTACCTGTCCATTAACCTGCAGAGAGAACCCAGCCAGTAACAGAAACACAAACCATCAAATAATAGCACATTCTGCCCATGGGTCTACATTTTGGGGTTTGGGAATGATCCAAGAGACCTGATTAAGCCCTTCCTTTGATCCCCAGCCCCCCTGCACCTGCTGTAGGGTGCAGAGCCAGGGGGTGCCAGAAGAGGCTTCATGCAGGAAGTGCTGGAGTTGCTGGGTCTGGAAAAAATATGTAAAAGGGGCAGTTTGCCAGTCGGCTCTCTCAGCCCCTTTCCATCTCATTAAAATCTATTTATTGAGAACACTAAGGACATACATGGGGCCTTCAGTCAGGAAGTAGTTATTGAGTTTTTATTATGTACCAGGCACTGTTCTCAGCATCTGAGAAACATCCTGAGAAACAGCCAGGAGTAAGTGAGACAACATTCTGACACTCCAGGTCTTTAAATCTCAGCAGAACTAAGACAGAGCTAAAGACAAGGTCATTCCAGCCAGAAGGAAGAGCCTGTAAAGTCACAGAAAAATCTGAGACCATGACAAGATGCTGGTAGTGGCAAGAACAGAAGGAGGAAAAAGGAGAGACAGGAAAACACTTGAATGTTCTTGTTTCTAGGATTCACTCCCAATCCCTGCAGTCCTCTTGCCCCCACACACTTTTTAATCCCAGCTCATTTACTAGACCACCGTTTGTGACTTGACTGGTTTTTCTTGGTCATTGTTTACACTGGGCTTTGCTCTCACATTTCCTCTTGGGAGTTGTGTCTGGTCCTCCTGGCTCTCAACTCTGCCCCAACCCATTTGTTCCTTAGCCTTTGGCAGACACTTCCCTGGGTTCTACCTTTGAACCCGTGTCCTTGCTCAGCCCTGAGCAGGGCTCAAGTGAAGACTTGCAAATATGTAGTGAAGCGATGGTGAGGGCCAGAATGAAGGCATTGGCTGTCCAGGGCCTGGAAGAGCAGAGTTCAAGAGCTCTTAGAGACTTAATTGGAAGAATTTGAGGCTAGTTGGATACAGGGGTGAGAGAGGAGAATAAAAAATGGAGGCTCCATAAAAAGAGAATTCTGGAAGAGGTCCAAGTTTGAGGAAGGAAGAGTTCTTTTTTGGCCATATCCATGGGGCCGTTAGTAATACAACTCTAAAATCCAGAATCAAATAGAAACTGCAATGTGTGGAGGTAGTTGGCAATTAAAGTATGGCCTGTGAGAAAAAAGCAGGCACTTGAAGAAGCAGCATCACCAGGAAAGGAGCTGAGGAGCTTAGATTGCGAAGGGGATCTGAGAAGATCAAACATAGGTAAGAGGTTTGCCATGAGCCTCTCAGAGTAATACTTAAAGCAGAAAGTTAAATCTCGTGCTGAAATTCACCATGATTACTAAAATCAGTTTTAAAAATGTTATCTATTTACAAAATAGAACTATCAGAAGAGCAAAGAAAGGCAGGAGCCACTAATAATGTCATGTCCCAAAACAGGACTATTCTTATTTTATTATTGCATTCTTCTGTAAGAAGAGCCATTCTTGAACAAGATAGTTTCAAGATAACAACAGTAGGTCCAAAAATACACTTGAAACTGAAAGAAAATGGAAAGAAACAGTAAGCTTCTTTGAATTAATTCAAGTTTCAGATTCAGAAGACACATCCAGTGGGCTAAAGGGACTTGCAGACACAGTCTCTAAAGAATTTAAAATAATTTTGCGATTCATATGGAGAACAGAGAGTGCCAGGAGGCCAGAAACATGTAACTGCCTTGAGTTTCGCAAAGGGCTTGCCTCTTCTTGTCACTAATTAAGATACCAAGTGGCTAGATGATTTCATTTTAAGGGCAGTTTTAGCCTTAAGGACAAGGAGTTAATTCCCTAAAATCCAAGGCTTTGTAAATAAATGACATTAAAGCCCATAAGAAGAATAACAGGGTTGCATCTTTATGCTTCATTTCCTATTCTGCTACATATTAAGAAAGGATTTTTTTTAACCATCATGTGGTATATTTCAGAGAACTCTCAGAGTAAGGATAATATATAATGTAGGTGACTTATTAACACCTACAAATATTTTATCTTAACTAGAGCATGGCATAGCCAATGAATTCCTTGTGGTTGAGGAATGAGAAGCATGCTTATCAGATTTGTAGGGGCCATACAGCTGTCAGAGATAACAAATGCCAGGGGTCCTCATTTGAGATTCAGAACTGTCTTGACAAGCTACAACATCAAAGTTGAAGCAGAATTTCTTGTCCATTAATCTTAAAATTAATAACACAAGTAGAGGAGTATAGACTTGGTAGCTGCTCATGTGAAAAGCACTCAGGTTTTTGGACATAGTAGACAGAACTGAATCAACAGCCTGATGGAGTCTCCCCACTGATCTTCTAGCTCAGGCTACATTAGGGGCCTGTACCATACGAGGAGCTGGAGATGACTGGCTCTCTTCTTGGTGCTTATTTCTTCCCACCTCAAGCCTAACCCTTTTCCCGTTGCTCCCAGTAAGCAGAAAATTATCTACAGGTAGGCCTCACGCTTCTGGAAACCTGATCCTTATTCTCCCTTAAACATTGTTTTAACTTCTTTTTAGTTGTACTAAAAATAATGTAAAGGTTACCATCGGAACCTTGTGTAAGTGTGCCCGTCAATGGTGTGAAGTACCTTCTTATTTTTTGCTCCTGTCCCCACCATCTGCCTCTAGAACTCTCTTCATCTTACAAACCGAAGTTCTGTCCTTGTTAAACAACTCCTTAGTTGTTCTGCCCCTGGCCCCTGGCAACCATCTTTCTACTTTTTGTCTCTGAATTTGACTATTCTAGGTACCTTGTATCAGTGGATTCCTGTAGTCTTTGTCCTTTTCTTTTTTTTTTTTTTTTTGTCCTTTTCTAACTTAGCATAATGTTTTTAAAGCTCATCATGTTGTAGCCTCTGACAGAATTTCCTTCTCTTTAAAGGCTGCATAGCATTCCACTATGGTATAGACCACATTTTTTGTGTCTCTTCATCCACAATGGATACTTGGATTGCTTCCACCTTTTGTCTATTGTGAACATCGGTTTACAAATAGCTGCTTGAGTCTCTGTTTTCAGTTCCTTTGCATATATATCCAGAAGTGAGATTGCCCGATCATATAGAAAGTCTATTTTAAATATTTTGAGGAACCACTAGACAGTTCTCCACAGTGACTGCATCTTTTTTACATTCCTACTTTGTACACTGTTGAGCACAAGGTTCTAATTTCTCCACATCATCATCAACACTTGTTTTTTTCTGATTTTTTTGATAGTAGTCATCCGAATGGATGTCAAGTGGTGTCTCATTGTGGTTTTGATTTTCATTTGCCTGATGACTAGTAATGTGAAACATCTTTTTATGTACTTTTTGACCATTTGTATATCTTCAAAGAAATGTCAGTTCAAGTCTTTATTATTATATTATAATTGGATTGTCTCTTTTTATAGTTATGGAATTGTAGGAGTTCTTTATGTATTCAGACTGTTAATCCCTTATCAGATATATGATTTGCAAGTATTTTCTCCCATTCTATGGGTTGCAACTAGATGGGATGTTGATTGTGTCCTTCGATGCACAGTTTTTAATTTTGATATAGTCCAGTTAATCTATTTTTCTTTTCTTTTGTTGGCTGTGCTTTTGGTGTCATATCCATGAAATCATTGCCAGATCTGATGTTATGAAGTTTTTACCCTATGTTTTTTTCTAAGATTTTTATAGTTTTAAGTCTTATGTTTAGGTCTTTGATTGATTTTGAGTTAATTTTAGCAGATGATGCAACTTATTTTTCTTATTTTAGTAATTCTGAAACTGATATCTCTTGTTAACTATCTCTCTATTTAATGGTGTAAGTGTGCCCCCACCCTATATATTATAATGTGCCCAGGTACATTTTTTTAATACAATTATTACATTCCTGGATTCAAGAAAATAAGATAGTCTTAGCCCCTACACCAAAGTTAAAAACACTAAGCACTTCTATGGTGTAGTTTAAAAGC